AAATGTTTTACGCGCACCAGCAAGTTATTTTGATATGCCATATATAACTACCAAGTATGGTTAGTAGTAGTAATAATAATAATAATAATAATAATAATGATTGATAATAAAATTATTTATATGGTTGATTAACAATAAGCCAACAAATTGATAAATTATAGAATCTGTAACAAATCCTGCAACAACACCAGAGTTTGATATTCAACCTGTCACAGGACCACAATTATATTCAAATTTATTTATTGGCACTTTAAATTGGTATCGAGGGGTAGGGGGGGGGGGGAGGGGGTGAATGAATTATTACTTTTCCATTTCCATTTCCATTTCTTTAATATTTATATTAATTTATATTTATTTTATATTTATTTCACATGATTAGGTCACGACGTGTAAGTGTTGATATTTTTTTCTGAAGATAAAAAACAAATGAATTAGTAAATACAAAATTGTATTTATTATGATTATTATTTTATAGGTATTAGACTCTCTTGGTTTGCTTACTGGAATTCATTGTTGGCAATAGTCAAATATACCTACCCATTTTCCCAAATCTTTTACGATGTGTGTAAAATCTACAGATGTTAAAACAATTCAGCAGGTAGATTTTTGATTTTGCCTGTATATAAGTCCGAGATCCTGAGAAGCGGTGCCTACACAATAAAAAGAAGAAATTATATATGTTAAAAGTATTTGATGGGCCCAATGATGCATCGAGAATATTTAATTCTGAAGAGAAGACTGTGTATAAAAAGGTATATTTCTTTGGCTTTATTATTCCTCAAGAATATATGGGTTTGATTATTTGCTAAGGGGTGGGTATAAATGCAATTATCAACAGGCCAATGTAATAATATATCTATTTTTTTAATGACAAATGGTCATGTATATATGATAAAAATATAATAAATTAAATTTATTGTTGTATTTAATTGTTAAATCATACTATGCCTTATTTTTGTTTTTTCCATAAAGTGTGATGTCATGAACTCTGCCTCAACATGATATTATATGTATAAAATATACATAATAATAATACACAAAATTAGTTGGAGTTATCCAAAATTAAGATAATTCTAAATTTCTAAATAAATTAATATATTAATACAGTTATAAAATGCTGATGATATATAATGTGTATATATGTATATAATTCTACATATTTTCTTCATTCTCATTATTCTCAGCTTCACCATCAATCTCTTTTTCATTATACTCAGTCCCACCCTTTTCATCACCATCACCACTTTCACCACTTTCATCTACTTTAACATCTTCCATATAATCAACCTCACATATAAATTGCTTTAAGAATTTTTCAAGTTCTTTAATACGTATTTCAATTGGAACATCTTGAGGAACTTCATCTATTAACAAATATAAATGATGATATTAGAGCCATCTAACCCACACCATTATATTGTATATATTAAGATAATGATATAGCACGTGCAACAAGAAAGATAGAATTGATTCAGGAAGCATTTAACCGAGCGTTCCTACGACTTGTTAATAGAGTGGGACAACTTGAAAAAGTACATAGACCGATTGGTGCTAATTATGTCACGGGGTTTGATAATAAATCAATTCTTTCATCTATTTTATTTATTTCTGAAGATATGCAATCATTAAGAAGAAATTTATTACGAGAGTATAATGAAAATGGATTGAAACGATTGGTTCTAAAAACAAGCAATAATCTAGGAACACTACTAACAACTTATGATTATGAATTTATTGTCGAAAAATTTGCAAAGGAAATCGAAGAGTCAGACTATCGTCGTAACTTTAGAGTCAACTCTTTATTGAGAAGACGTAAACCAGCAAGATTTAAGTCATTTCCAAAATATCAAGATAGGGATGACTATTATCTTGAGGATTTATACGATTAGAATTGAAAGGTGGTTCAATAGATGGATGACATATACTATTTGTAATTTGCTATTATTATTTCTTTTATTATTTCTTAAAAAAAAAAAAAATAAAGGTATTTATGTGTGTGGTGTGTTTATGTATTATCGTATAATTATTTTTTTTTCACTATTTACAATTTATTTTTTTAGAATTCACTAGCCGGAAGAAAGTATCCGAATAAGGGTTTTCAATAATAATAATTAGGTAAAATACCACATAATAAAACCACATACAATTTACATCATTAGATAGCTTGTGTTTTTTAACTTTTGCGTATTAATTAAAAACCCCATATAAATTTCGATATTAAATCTCAATAAAATTGATTGGATCAAAAAAAAATTACCGTGAGGTTTTAGAAATAAGGAAAATACTTTAAATACTTATTACAGTTATGATGATATATGAATAAAGTTAACTTTTAAAAATTAACACAATTTGGCGTAGGAAATGTAGATTACCAATTAATCGTCCACCCTTGTATCCCGATGAATATTAAGGATTTAACGTCATATTTAAAGGCTTTATTGTGCAGGAAATGCAGGTTCAGAAATTATTACCAATTTACATTCTAAAATGGTATTTGCTTATTCCTTACAATAACTTCTAAAATCACATTGTCCCGAGAAAAAGACCGCCTTTCCGTTACCATTATTATAGTGAAAAAGGCATAAAAAATACAGAAAGAACTGTGAAAATTTTTTTTTAATATAGCCAGTTTTAGCAAAATAAGTGATATAAATCGAGTTATCACATGCAAATATGCAAGTAACTTCTTTTTCTTTCTATAATTTTCTCGTTAGTTTTTGTGCGTGAACTATTTAAAGAAAGAGATTTACATTACAACAAATTCCAGAGTTGGGGCTGAGTTGACATTATTAAATAAAGTTTCGAAGATGGAATATTTATCGTGTAACCAAAATTTTCGCGCCTTTACTTTGTTAATAAATCAATGTTTACTTTTAAAGGTGTGACTAATTAGTTTTAATGTTATAAATTGAGACTATTTACATATTTTTTTTTTAAAAATAAAAGATAAATTTTCAAAATGACAAGATTGTTTTATGAACCAAAAAAAATATATCAAAGGAAAAAGGAACCTCGTGTTTTAATTTGCATGAGGATTTCATGTTTATCAATTTCCATGATAATATTAATAGCATATTCTGT